GCTACACTTGGCTCTACCCATTAATTTATAAAAATGAGGTTTTCAGAATTTTCAAACAATTCAAAGCACTTTTCGAAAATATCTTTTCTTATAAAATTCAACAATTTCAAACAAATAATGGGCGTGAATATCTCTCTACCCAATTTAAAAAAAATTGCAAGAAAACAGTATTTTTTCATTGCTTAACATGTCCTCACACATCTCAACAAAATGGTATAGCCGAAAGAAAATATCGCCACATTGTTGAAACGGGTCTCACCCTATTAGCTCAGCCGCACCTTTCCCATACATATTGGCCAGATGCATTCTTGACATCAGTATATTTAATAAATAGACTTCCAACAAAAGTTTTAAATAATTTAACACCTTTTTACATGCTCCATAAAACCGTTCCCCGATACTCTCACCTTCGCATATTTCCTTTTATTAAGACCATATGAGCCTCATAAATTGTCCTTTAGAAGCAAAGTATGTGTTTTCATAGGATATGCCAGTCAACAAAGAGGTTGCCACTATCTTGACCTAGCTACTATCTTGACCTAGCTACAGGACGTGTCTATGTGTCACGAAATGTAATTTTTGATTAAAAACATTTTCGTGCAAAGGGTCAAGTCCAAACTTCTCCTACGCCATCAAGCTCGAGCTTGATTGGTATACTTTCTCCTTCACCTTTTTCAATTTCAGATATTCCTATTCCACCAACTCTTGCCATTGACCCAATAGCGTCACGTACCCATGAGACCCTCACTCAGTCACAAGCCCTTTTCCCGAATCCCATTTCTCCACTACAATTTGAAACCCAAGACCTCGAAACTCCAAATTCAGAAAAACTTGAAACCCAGTTTATAGAACAAATTATCTCACATGAATTCCGTATCCCTGTCCCACACCCCAATCGGGCAACAACCCGCTCAATGACTGGAAACTCAAAACCTAAGGCCTTTCCTAATTTTACAATGTTTTATACGACCAAGTATCCCTTGCAAGTACTCTCCTCTATTATCACTGACACTGAACCATCCAATTACACATAAGCAGTTGCCTCTCCAGCATGGCGTGAAGCAATGGGATGGGAATTTGATGCACTAATGGTGAATGGGACTTGGTCACTTTATCCTCGCCCACATGGTAAACATGTTGTACGCAACAAATGGGTCTATAAAATCAAGAGATTGTCTAATGGAAGCATTGAACAATTTAAAGCCCGTTTGGTCACAAAAGGCTTTGATCAACAGTGTGGTGTCGAATACACAGACACTTTTTTCTCCTATGGTAAAACCTACTTCTATTTGCATTGTGTTAGCTTTGGCTATTTCATTTAATTGGCCTATTTAACAATTAGACATTTCAAATGCTTTTCTGCATGGCTATCTTGATGAAGAGATATTTATGGAACAACCACGAGGTTTTTTCGATGAGACTCATCCTAATTATGTTTGCAAGCTTCTTAAGTCACTTTATGGCCTTAAACAAGCTCCGAAAGCTTGGTTTAGATGACTGTCCCAACACCTACTTGAGTATGGCTTTGTTGAATCAGCTGCTGACTACTCACTTTTTGTCTGTACTACTGAGATTGTGAAACTATTTGTGTTGATATATGTTGATGACATTATAGTTACTAGATCAAGCTCACATGCCATTAACACTTTTATTCAATCTCTATCAACTAACTTCATGGTTAAAGATCTTGGAGATTTGAGTTTCTTTTTAGGTGTTTAAGCATCAAGAGATTCTCAAGGCCTACATCTTCGTCAAGCCCAGTACAAAATAAATTTACTACACAGCACCAAGATGACTGATGCAAAGCCCCTTGGGTCCCTACTACATCTGGTCCGAAGTTATCTTCTATAGAAGGTCCTTTATTGTCTGATCCAACAGAGTATAGAAGAGTGGTTGGGGCACTTCAATATTGTACTTTCTCTAGACCGGATATTGCATATGCCGTAAATCAATTGTGCCAATTTATGCATTCCCCACATGAACCTCATTACCCTGTTGTCAAAAGAGTGCTTCGGTATCTAAAGTGTAGTATTGATATCGATCTACTATTCACTCTAGGATCAATTATTCTTCAAGCCTTTTGTGACTCAGATTGGGCCGGTAATCCTGATGATCATCGCAACACCACTGGATATGCAGTTTTCCTGGGTCAAAATTTGATATCATGGTCTGCCAAGAAACAACCAATTGTCTCCAAGAGTAACACTGAAGCTGAATATAGAAGCATGGCCATCGCCACAGCCGAACTCTATTGGATAAGAATGCTCCTCAAGGAACTTGGTGTCTTCCTACCATACACTCCTACACTATGGTGTGATAACATTGGCACTATCGCCTTGGCCTCCAATCCCATTTTCCATGCCCGCACGAAACACGTGGAAATTAACTACCACTTCATTCGAGAAAAGGTCCTCAATAAAGACATTCAGGTGTAATATATTTTACCCAAGATCAGATTGCTGATATCTTCACAAAGGGGAAAACAACCGCTCGTTTTGGTGTACTTCGGTCCAAACTGATGGTGATGATCATCCCCATCACTTTATCGGGGGGGGGGGGGGTTAAACCAAGCAATCGCAGCAATCACAATACTCCTTGATCTCCTCCATGCAAGACTACTCCTTCTATATCAGTATGGATTCCACAATCACCTCCAATGTGATCTCAGCATCCCATTGACCTCTCCATAATTCTGTCAATCATAACAATTGTATATTCCATAACTTTAGTGTATTCCATATTTTTGTATGCTAAGCTCTACTATATAAAGCCATTGTAATACACAGAAGAATTAAGTTGGCCCTTCCATTTCATCTCATATATCACTGCTAGTTTTACAAATTCTTTGTTGTTTTTAACTGAAAAGAGCTGGTGGTTAGTTTATAAGTGTAAAAGAAAGCATCACCTCTTAAGCTAGCTTTTGGGATTAAGAAGAAAGCTTGCAAATCAATCAACCTCATGCAAGAAGATAAAGAAATTGATTGCTTTGAATAGGTTTAACTTCGAAACACTTCTGTGGCAATTAATTAGAAATGCAACACATAGTATTTTAGTGAAGATTTGGTCCATTAGACTTATTTTCATTTTTTTCTTTGTTTTTCCTAAACCTAGTGACCAGTTCAAAAAGTGGTATTAAAGTGTAGGTCTAAAATTGTCTTGTGTTGTAATTCTATTTATTGATTTATTGCATGATTTTATAGTTGAGCGATTCCTAGAGTTGTTCTGTGTGTATTTGAATGATTGGATTTATTCATGGATGGATAAATGTATGTATGGTTGATGAATGAAATAATAATCAAAATTTTCCATTAAAATGAAGCACAAGGAATACAAGATTATTATTATTATTATTATTATTATTATTATTATTATTTTCAAGGCTCTAATACCAGTTTGAAGGCAAGATAATTTGGAGATATATAATCTAAAATTCACTTCTTATTTTGCCTTAAAAAACACTGCAACATAGGGGTCTATTTATACATACTAAGAATTCAAGATGACTCCTCAAACTATGGAATTCTATGAGACACTGACTAGATCCAATACATGAATCATTATTGAATATGTGAGGTTCAAATCTAGTTTATTCAAACAGAATAGGCACAAATAGTCTAATTTAATGCCACAACAATGGTGAAATAGAGTTCATCAATGGCATGTGGATAAAAGGAAAATATTTCAGCTAGTGGAATTCATATGAAATAACACCATGGATACATCAACAATTACGACAACGGAAACCAAAATAAACTAAGAGCACATTTGGGACACCATATTCAATAGTACTATATAGTATGATCGATAAGACTTTAATTTATTTTCTTCCTCGATAGTGGCAAACACTATTTATTCCACCAAGCCAAACATGCTCGGAACTTAGCAAAATAGGATTTCTTCTTAGGTTTATTGAATATCCTGAATCCATAAGTCCGATATGTCATCTCAATCAAGAGAGGGAACTGCAAGAACTTGGAATTTCGCAATATTTCTCTATTTTCTGATCTTTCTTCCGAGTTAATGGGCCCAAACAATCTGAAGCTTGAATTATATAGGTCCAATTAGGTGCCTTTGATAGCTTCAGATAAAAATTTTGATTTAATTATGGTAATAATTGAATTGACAGGTTGCATAGTTGAATAGGTCAAACTTTACTAAAGTCAGCCATTGATCAAAAGCGAACACGATCTTGATGTGTTAAAATTCGGGATTGTACAAGTCCTAAAAGGAATTTTATTGTTTATATAACGTGGTTCCTTTATAATTTGAATCCCAATCGCGTTGGATAAATGAACAAGGCTATTTAGTTCTACATAAATAAATCTAATGGACCGTGAAAGAACAAATTCCATTACTTGAGAGTTCTTCATATCATAATATTTTCTTGTGAGTTCTTGAGGATTAGGAATTCGATAATTGGTTCCATAAATCAGGTGCAACCAGGTTGTGGAGAAGATTGGAGATAAGATCTCAGTGTTAGAAGTTTGTAGATCAAGGAAGGAGTAATTATTCGATGGGATCTAATTTGAAAGCTTGCAAATCAATCAACCTCAAGACAGAAGATAAAGAAATTAATTGCTCAGAATAGGTGTAACATCCAAACACTAATGTGGCAATTAATTAGAAATGCAACACATTGTAATCTAGTAAAGATCTGGTCTATTAAACTTATTTTGAATTATTTTTTTTTCCTAATCCGAACGGACCAGTTTTCAAAAAGTGGTAATAGAGTATAGGTCTAGAATCGTGTGTTGTAATTCTAATTCTTGATTTATTGCATGATTTTATAGTTGAGCAATTCCTAGGGTTGTTTTATGCGTTTATTTGAATGATTAGATTTATTTATGGATAAATAAATTTATGGATGGTTGATGAATGAAATATTAATCAATTTTTTTCCATTAAAATGAGGCACAAGAGAAACAAGATTGATGGACATTATTTTTTTTCTTTTTCAAGGCTTTAATACCAGTTTGAAGGCAAGATAATTTGGAGATATATAATCTAAAATTCACTTCGTATTTGCATTACAAAATATTGCTACATGTGCTTCTATTTGTACATACTAAGAATTCAAGATGACTCTTCAAACAACGGAATTCTACGAGACACTCAATTAGATCCAATACAAGAATTGTTCATAAGAAAAAACACCATGGATACATCATTACTTAAAATGACAGAAACCAAAATGAGCTAACAACACATTTGGGACACCTTATTCAAAGTACTCTATAGTAAGACCTATAAAATTTTTAATGTCTTTTGTTCCTCAATGGATTCCTCCTTATCAAACATGCTCTGAACTTAGCAAAACGGGATTTCTTCGTATATTCATCAAATATCCCGGCTCCATAAGTACGTTGGGTCATCTCAATCAAGAGAGGAAACTGCAAGATAGAGAAAAGAACTATTGGAATCGTTGTAAGGACGATGATAGGAACCGTGACCCAAGACAAATTCTCATGAAGGATCAAATACAATGCAGAACCAAAGGATACCATCATGGTAACAATCGAAAGGAACAAACTCGTCAGTCCTGATATTAATTTTGTCGGTAAGGACTTAAGAAAATCATCTTCTGCATAACGCGCTGTAAGAATTCCGAAGAAAATCAACAGTGATGTACTTGAACTGAACATCGACAGGGCATTCGAAATCATGAAAATCAAGAAGGGAATCCTTTGAGTTTCTAGCATTGTTGGCATTCCTGTGTCATTTTTATTACCACCTGGTACTGTGAAAGCTGTTGTGAACATTACAGCAGCAATTAGAGTTGCCACTATCATGCTTGACCCTGCTGTATTTTTCATCCAGTCCTCGGCTTTTTTGGCTAACCTCTCGTGCTCTTCAGTGAATAAAACTTTCGGTGTTTTGTTGTGGCTGTTTAGTTCCTCTTTGAGTTTGGGTTGTACCATGCTCCCAACTTCCTGCATATTGGAAGAAATAACATAGAATGACGATTCAATTTCAGATAAGTTAGATGAATGTGTAGCATTAGAGTAAACAAAATATTGTGAATTTTAGGGACGAAATCAGTGCACAATTTTTCATAAATAGATGGTGACAAGACTTGAATTATGCCTTTAATTATTTTCACAATAATATCATATTGAATCATCTCATCTAAAGTTTAAACTTTCAGAAAAAAGATAAATTTATTTATGTGAATTATGTCTTCGATAATTGTCACCTATTTATGAGAACTGTGCAGGTGTTATAGAGAGGGAACACATTTAATATAAATTTCAAATAAATAAATTTATGATATCTTTCATCAGCTTAAGTTTGTAGAAGAAATGGCTCGAATAACAATCATAACGGTATACATACACATGCATTCACACACACACACACACACACACACACTCATGTAACCGAGCAAAATACATTACCTTAAACCATTGCAGTTCCCTTTGCATTTGTAGTGCTGCTCCAGTTACAATATCAAGTCGAGAAGGAGGAGACAATTTTGCAGCAAGATGTAAATAATTGTTGCCAAAAATATCATACCTCATTCCCATTAAACACTTCTCTTTTCCTAAAGTAAATATGAGGCCAAAAATCTTCTCTTGACGCGATATAATTGCATTCGAAAAAATTGTTCTCCCTTTTTTATCTTTTCTCCATATAATTTCTGGTGCACATTTAATCATTTCATCTATCAATTCAAAAATTCCATTCTTTATGGCATCATTTATTATTTTATCCAAGTCCATTTTTTCGAGCTCTGGTTTGCTCAATTGTAACATTTTTTTAAACACAATCCTCAGGAATTTCCTAACTTGGACATGGACTGACTTCCTTCGGTATATGTAACGGATCCCTGGAACTGAAAATTAATAAAAATAATATTAAATAACGTTTCATGTGTAATTGATTTTCAGTACACATGTGTAGCAGAAACTATATATATAGGAAGATAATACATACCAATGGATCGCAATATCACCCAACCCAATTTGCGTACCAACTCTAGAGCTGCACAACCAGAATTTATTTAGAGATGTCAAAATGTAGTGGGTTATCAAAGCCTAGGGCCACTTGACACATGAAAGCACAGTCGGACTAGGACATGGTGCAGCCAGCCCAAATCTACCGTTAACACATGGGTCCACATGCTCAAAATAAATTTAAAAAGGCTTAGGCATAGGATGCACTGGCTGATCCGAGCTAGTGAAGGTTCAGGAGTCATACTCGCCTAATTTATACCTCTAAACTAAATTTAGGATGTGTGAAGAAAACCTGAAAAAAAGGGGAGGAGTGTGACATAATCTGATGTACCTCGAGTAGTTATAGTTAGGCCACCATGTGCCATCATTCCTGCCAAATCTTCGTCGTTTGATTCAGGAATTTGAATGTTGTAATCATGACTAGTACTTGATGTTTGCATTTCTACATGCTCTTCATGTACTCTTACACCTTGTGTAAAAAGTTCAGACAAGGAATACTTTTCAAAACGATCATATTCAACAAGTGAGTTTATGGCACATATGTATATTGTAGTAGACAGTACGAATAAGAAACTAAGGATCCGTTCGATTGCAAAGATGGAATTTGGGTGGAAAGAAAACAAATTTCAGGGAATTGAATTGCCTATAAATTGTTTTCCTGGGAATTGTAAATTATTGTGTTTGATTGATATAATTTTCCACATGAAAAATGTTAAAATAAAAGTGTTTTTTGATGTTCATCTTACTTTGTTTAACACGAAAATTGTCAATTAAAGGGATAGAATTTACTGGTATTGGGGATGAAATTTGTTGCCATTGCCAAAAAATAAAAAAAATATAAATAATAAGAAAATCATCTATTTTTTGGTGCTCGTTTAGCTTTGTTTTACATGAAAATTGTCAATTAAAGGGATACAATTTTTTACAATAATTCTTAGAATTTGTTTCCATTGTAAAAGAAAATAATAATAATAATAATAATAATAATAATAATAATAATAATAATAATAATAATAATAATAATAATAATAATAATAATAATAAATGAAAAAAAATTAAAAAATCGCTACAGTAACCCAAAAAACGAATTCTCACCATTGTGGTGAGAATTTGAATTCAAGAAAAAGATGAAAAATGTTGACGTGGTGGCCAAAGGTGTAAAATGAGTTCCTTGAAAAATTTTGTCAATCAAACAGGCCAAACGTAGAAGTTAGAAGTAGTTTTCCATTTTCCCTAGAAAAAAAGGGCTATCAAACAGCCCCTAAACTTTATCTAAATGTACCCTTATGATACATTGTTTGTGAATGAAATTAACAGGTGACCAATTACATACTTACAGTAATAGATCAATTTTTCCCAAAATGAAAGTTCAATCCCACTAGGAAATGCAGAAGGCCTTTGAGCCAATAATTTGAGAGCGTAATTGTCATTAACATCTGGGATAACACCCAACTGTGGATACTTTTCCAATAGCAACAAAGCAACGTCTACAGTAACAAAATAGCTAGAATTAGGTATACATCTCTAGAGAATTAAGCCCAAATCTCAATTGCGATAGCAACTTTTACTAAAACAAAATCAAAAAACATATAGCCTCCATTTGACAAACTTATAAATCAATTTATAAAGAGGAATAGTACTGGGACCCACTAAATTTTTGAAAGTAATGATTCAAATTAATGCTTGACTTTAACTAGGTTTATTAAGCATATTATAAGTTGTATCCAAACAGAAATTTTCAGTGTTTCATGCTCAATTGGAGAAGCACGTTGTGAAACAAAACTACCATCAACAAAATTGAAAATCCTATGTATACGCATTACTATTACGTTTATCTACAATTGACGAAATTAACAGAGAGCCGATCATGCTACATTGCCATGGAATTTTAAATTCACACTAAGCAAACTCTGATTGGCAGTTAGACAAAAAATTATTTTAACATTACCAATCTTAATATGCCATCTCACCCGTGGTACAATTCCATGGCAATATCCCAAGGGGCTTTATCCTCATAGAGCATGATTAGACTCCACATTATGCATTCACTTACCATAAATATCAGCACTAATAAGTTAATTAAGTAGTGTGACTCCATTTGCACCCTTTTCAGGACTCAGCACATCTTTTGGCGTCTTATTGTATAAATAATGAACCATGCCCTTCTGTCTATACAATGCAGCCACCATCACAGGAAGTTCCCCATATTCTTGGCCTGCAGTTTCTATTGAAACTAATTCTTCGTTCTTGCTTACCATTTCCTTAGCCAGTTCTGTCGCACCACAGATTGCAGCAAAAGATAAGGTTGTAGCTCCATGTTCATTTTTCAATTCTAACTCTTTTGGGCCCATCAATTTTACAAGTTTTTTCGCAATTTCAGTCTGTCCAGATAAAGTTGCCATGTGTAGAGCTGTCTCTTTGTGTGATGAAACACTTTCAGTAAATGGTAGTTTCTTTTCCTGAAAGAAACCTTCTATATCATGCCAATTACCTTTTTCAATTGCCTCGTATAAGGGCCCGTATTCAAGGTACTCGCTCAACCCTGCAAACAATGAAGTCAACCTAAATGTGACGGAGTTGTGTCAAATGCAGATTTCACTAAATAAGAGAGAAGATTGGCACCACCACATTGTTCTTTACTCATTTTTAATGATTGAGAACCTATAGTGCAATTTCACATTTCTTATAACACAATAAAATTTTAGACGGCCTAGTTCATCACAAAGATTGAGAAATTACCATTATCTTCGACTCGACTTTCTTTGTCATGATCTCCTTGTTCTGCCAACTGAGTCCATACGTAGTTAGCATTAATGTCGGCATTTTTAAACTTCGAATATATTGCTTGTCCACATGAAAGTTGAATTGCATGCAAAGCCAAAGCATTCTTTTTCTTCCATTTTTCATGCTCTTGTTTATTTGTCTTATCTGGTTCAATCTCCTGAGCAGAGACAACACCCCAAAGCCCATTCCCAACCAAATAATTTGTCAAGCAATTTTTCCAGCTTATAAAGTTATCCTTAGTTAGCTTCTCTGACACAATTCCCAGACCTACTAGATTATGCCTTCTATCTGTTCGCCAATCAAAATGAAAGTTCAGTTATAAACTTAAAAAAGAATTGATGACTAAATGAAACAGTGCTGTAAGTTGGGTGACAAACAGTGCTTTCAAATTGTTCGAGAAAGTTGAAGTGCTCGGCATTGTAAAGGGCCCACAAAAAGTAATATATTCTTGATTACTTTACGAGTTTATTCAAAGCACAATATTGAGAATGTTAATTGAACTAGAAATTCAATAATAGTGCTTGAGATGAAAAGGAAAATTGAGGGAAAAAACTATAAACACACCAAATCATGCAAAGTAAACTAAAATCATCTTACTTGACTTTAATTTTGTCATCTTCTCTCACTAGGATAACACTTGTAGGTATGATATGATCATCAAGAAGGGCAATCAGTCTTTATAGACGTAATTCACTCTATGCTTAAGTAAGGTACATTTTTTATTTATTTACTTATACTTTTTGTCTTTTTTCCTTTTCTTTATTCTTCTTTGCTATCCAGGTGTATTCCAAAAGAAATTACTCTCAACTTGTTGGGAGGCCAACAATGTGCTTCACATTGTTGTCCACAGAACTGGTGTATTATTCTTCTTTACTGTCCAAAAAATTATTCTTAACTTCTTGGAGGGCCAACAATGTGCTTCACGTTGTTGTCGACAGAACTGGTGTATTATTCTTCTTTTCTGTCCATAGAACTATTGTTTTCCAAAGAAATTATTCTTAACTTTTTGGAGGGCCAACAATGTTCTTCACTCAATGTTGTCCAATGAACTGGTATATTATTCTTCTTTGCTGTCCACAGAACTGTTGTATTCCAAAAGAAATTATTCTCAACTTCTCGAAGGGCCAACAATGTGCTTCACATTGTTGTCCACAGAACTGGTGTATTCCAAAAGAAATTATTCTCAACTTCTTATATAGTTATCCTCAGTTAGCTTCTTCGACACAATTCCCAGACCCACTAGATTTTTCCTTCTATCTGTTCGCCAATCAAAATGAAAGTTCAGTGATAAACTTAAAAAAGAATTGATGACTAAATGAAACAGTGATGTAAGTTGGGTGACAAGCAGTGCTTTCAAATTGTTCGAGAAAGTTGAAGTGCCCGGCATTGTAAATGGACCACAAAAAGTAATATATTCTTGATTACTTCATGAGTTTTATTCAAATCACAATATCGAGAATGTTAAATGAACTAGAAATTCAATAATAGGGCTCAAGATGAAAAGGAAAATTGAGAAAAAAAAACACTATAAACACACCAAATCATGCAAAGTAAATTAAAATCATCTTACTTGACTTTAATTTTGTCATCTTCTCTCATTGGGATAACACTTGTAAGTATGCTATGATCATCAAGAAGGGCAATCAATCTTTATAGATGCATAATATAGAATTACTCTATGCTTAAGTTAGGTACATTTTTTACTTATTTACTTTTAGTTTTTATCTTCTTTCCTTTTCTTTACTCTTCGTTGCTGTCCGCAGAACTGGTGTATTCCAACAGAAATTACTCTCAACTTCTTGAAGGGCCAACAATGTGCTTCACATTGTTGTCCACGGAACTAGAGTATTATTCTTCTTTGCTATCCATAGAATTGGTGTATTCCAAGGAAATTATTCTTAACTTCTTGGAGGGCCAACAATGTGCTTCACATTGTTGTCCACAGAACTGGTGTATTATTCTTCTTTGCTGTCCACAGAACTGGTGTATTCCAAAGAATTTATTCTTAACTTCTTGGAGGGCTAACAATGTGCTTCACTCAATGTTGTCCATAGAACTAGTGTATTATTCTTCTTTGTTGTCAACAAAATTGGTGTATTCCAAAGTAATTATTCTTAAATTTTTGGGGGCAAACAATGTGCTTAACTCAATGTTGTCCACAGAACTGGTGTATTCTAAAAGAAATTATTCTCAACTTCTTGGAAGGCCAACACCGTGCTTCACATTATTGTCTACAGAACTAGTTTATTCAAAAAGAATTTATTCTAAACTTCTTATAAAGTTATCCTCAGTTAGCTTCTCCTGCACAATTTCCAAACCCACTAGATTATGCCTTCTATCTGTTCGTCAATCAAAATGAAAGTTCATAGATAAACTCAAAAAAGAATTGATGACTAAATGAAACAGTGCTATAAGTTGGGTGACAAACAGTGCTTTCAAATTGTTCGAGAAATTTGAAGTGGCCGACATTGTAAAGGGACCACAAAAAGTAATATATTCTTGATTACTTCAAGAGTTTATTCAAAGCACAATATCGAGAATGTTAATTGAACTAGCAATTCAATAATAGAGCTCAAGATGAAAAGGAAATTTGAGGGGAAAAAAACTCTGAACACAACAAATCATGCAAAGTAAATTAAAATAATCTGACTTGACTTTAATTTTGTCATCTTCTCTCACTAGGATAACACTTGGAAGTATGATATGATCATCAAGAAGGGCAATCAGTCATTATAGACGTAATTTACTCTATGCTTAAGGTACATTTTTTATTTATTTACTTTTACTTTTTGTCTTCTTTCCTTTTCTTTATTCTTCTTTGTTGTCCAGGTGTATTGCAAAAGAAATTACTCTCAACTTTTTGGGAGGCCAACAATGTGCTTCACATTGTTGTCCACATAACTGATGTATTATTCTTCTTTACTGTCCACCAAACTGTTATATTCCAAAGAAATTAATCTGAACTTCTTAGAGGGCCAACAATATGCTTCACATTGTTGTCCACGGAACTGGTGTATTATTCTTCTTTTCTGTCCACAGAACTGGTGTATTCTAAAGAAATTATTCTTAACTTTTTGGAAGGCCAATAATGTGCTTCACTCAATGTTGTCCACAAAACTGGTGTATTATTCTTCTTTGCTGTCCACAGAACTGTTGTATTCCAAAAGAAAATATTCTCAACTTCTTGAAGGGCCAACAATGTGCTTCACATTGTTGTCCACAGAACTGGTGTATTCCTAAAGAAATTATTCTCAACATCTTATAAAGTTATCCTCAGTTAGCTTCTCCGACACAATTCCAAGACTAACAAGATTATGCCTTCTATCCATTCGCCAATCAAAATGAAAGTTCAGTGATAAACTTAAAAAAGAATTGATGACTAAATGAAACAGTGATGTAAGTTGGGTGACAACCAGTGCTTTCAAATTGTTCGAGAAAGTTGAAGTGCCCGGCATTGTAAATGGACCACAAAAAGTAATATATTCTTGATTACTTCACGAGTTTTATTCAAACCACAATATTGAGAATGTTAAACGAACTAGAAATTCAATAATAGAGCTCGAGATGAAACGGAAAATTGATAAAAAAAAAAAAAAATACTATAAACACACCAAATCATGCAAAGTAAATTAAAATCATCTTAATTGACTTTAATTTTGTCATCTTCTCTCACTGGCATAACACTTGTAAGTATGCCATGATCATCAAGAAGGGCAATGAATCTTTATAGATGCATAATATAGAATTACTCTATGCTTAAGTAAGGTACATTTTTTATTTATTTACTTTTAGTTTTTACCTTCTTTCCTTTTCTTTACTCTTCTTTGCTGTCCACAGAACTGGTGTATTCCAACAGAAATTACTCTCAACTTCTTGGAGGGCCAACAATGTGCTTCACATTGTTGTCCATAGAACTGGATATTATTCTTCTTTGTTGTCCATAGAATTGGTGTATTCCAAGGAAATTATTCTTAACTTCTTGGAGGGCCAACAATGTGCTTCACATTGTTGTCCATAGAATTGGTGTATTCCAAGGAAATTATTCTTAACTTCTTGGAGGGCCAACAATGTGCTTCACATTGTTGTCCACAGAACTAGTGTATTATTCTTCTTTGCTGTCCATAGAACTGGTGTATTCCAAAGAATTTATTCTTAACTTCTTGGAGGGCTAACAATGTGCTTCACTCAATGTTGTCCATAGAACTAGTGCATTATTCTTCTTTGCTGTCCACAGAACTGGTGTATTTCGAAGTAATTATTCTTAACTTTTTGGGGGCGAACAATGTACTTCACTCAATGTTGTCCACAGAACTGGTGTTTTCCAAAAGAAATTATTCTCAACTTCTTGGAAGGCCAACACTGTGCTTCACATTGTTGTCCACAGAACTGGTTTATTCAAAAAGAATTTATTCTCAACTTCTTTTAAAGTTATCCTCAGTTAGCTTCTCCGAGACAATTCCCAGACTTGCTAGATTATGCCTTCTATCTACTTGTCAATCAAAATGAAAGTTCAGTGGTAAACTTAAAAAAGAATTGATGACTAAATGAAACAGTGCTATAAGTTAGGTGACAAACAGTGCTTTCAAATTGTTCGAGAAAGTTGAAGTGCCCGACATTGTAAAGGGACCACAAAAAGTAATATATTCTTGATTACTTCACGAGTTTATTCAAAGCACAATATCGAGAATGTTAACTGTACTAGCAATTCAATAATGGAGCTCAAGATGAAAAGGAAACTTGAGGGGGGGGGGGGGGGGGGGCTTTAAAAAAAAAAAAAACTTAAAAAAAAAAAAAAAAATACT